TACAACAATGTAAATCATAATAATACATTATAGTTGGATCAGCGCAGAAGAGTGCACTTAAATTATCCCGATTACTCCGGCGTAATCTTAGATGAGTCGCAGTCAGGCAGAACAATCAATGTTCAAAGAGGCTTCGAGATAGATCGTAACAAAGTGAATCAGAAGGAAGAAGCCGAGATTAGTAGTGGCGATAGTTCGAATATTCAGAAATCACGACACTCCTCTTCCTCCTCATCGTCGTCTTCTTCCTCTTCTTCTAGTATTGCCGAGACTAGGAGGATTCAGCTAAACCCAACGGGAGAAAAACCCGAAGTACTCACCACAACGTATACGCACAATTCTTCTGGAACTAGCTCGATCGATAGCAGTAACTTATCTAATAATCGCGGCGGCGTTGTTTTTCACACGGAATCAAGCGGTAATTACGGTTCCACAACTTTAGGCGGAGGATTCCGTGAATCTGAAGAAGGATCTTTTGGTTCGAGATTGCCCGATCTCGAACAGTCCTATGGAACACGAACGAACCAATCTGTTAGGGTAGAAAGCCGTTGGAAAGAGAGCGGTGAAGCGCCAGGATACACGATCTCACCTCCAGGAAGATACGATTCAATTATGCCAGAAAGCGAGAGGAGATACCAGGAACTCTTGAAACAGCAGGAGGACGCTCGTATGCGTCAGGAGGAGGAGACCCGACAGAGGAAGTTCCAGGAAGAAACTCGTCTGCGTCAGGAGGAGGAGACTCGACAAAGGAAGCTTCAGGAAGAGCTTCGTTTGCGACAGGAGGAAGAGACTCGACAGAGAAAGGTGCAAGAGGAGCAAGAACGTAACTTTGCCCTACAACATCATCGAGAAGAGGTAGAGCGACGTCGGCAGGAAGAGGAATGGCGAAGAGAAGAAGAAGAACGGCGAAGACAGCAAGAGGAAAGACGCCTCCAGGAAGAGAGAGAACATAGCTATGACTCGGAAAGACGCTACGGAGCGACCACGGGTGGTCACCATCCATCTACGGAAGATGATTTTATCACTGGCGACCGCGAAGAGACAGTCGGAAGTCGAGAATTTAATTTGCACAATGTCAGCTCCACGCAAGAATTGAACCGAATCTTTGGTACATTGTCGAAGGATGCAGCTGGTTACCAAGTATATAGTAGGCAGGGACAACAGTATGTACAGTTCAAGGCAAGATTCAGAACATCTGCTGATAGAAAGGACTACATAGAGTTCCAGGACGGTTCTATGTTCCCTCTTCAAGATCGTTATGGTGGTCAAAGCTATATCTCGGAATCCACAGAACCTCGCGACAGTCGATTCCTCAGAATAGAAGGTCAGCTATTTATTGCTCCGGATAGTAAAGGTTACATCGTGTTGAAAGATGGCCGAAGATTTCCTCTTCAGGGTTCTTTCACGCACACAGAGGAAAGAACGTACACTTTACATGGTTCGCATGATGACTATTTAGGTAGCAATACTGATAATCAAGGTCAGGGAACTTACAGTCAATCTTGGCAAGAGGAATCATCCAGTGCAACTTCGGACGGAGGTTACGAAAGCAGATATAATACTCGTACGCATGAAGAAAAACGGACGGAAGAGAGAACGAGCGATACCAGAGTCTATGGAAGAAACCGTGACCGATTTAACGATGAATTTCCCACTGACAGACCCGATTTTCCAAGCTCGCGATATAGACGCGAGAGCGACATGGTCGATATCGAGGAGTTCAAGAAATTCGAGTGGCTTCACAGACATCGACGAGACCTCGACGAGACGAACGATCCGTCAGATGCAACTACGTTCCAAGATGACGATTATTACCAGGAAAACGATCCTGAGTTACAGACACCAGTACGGCCGTGCGATTCAGCAAAGTGCGTTATGTTGCGATGCGTGCTAGGTCCATTGAAGAAAGATCAAGAAGTATGGATCAGTGCGAGGTATCGCGTGGATGCTAGGACTTTGAAGGAAGTAGCTCTTGAAGAGAAAGTGAAAGTGTCAACAAAGTTAGTGGCGCGTGTCACGAAGCAACCATTCATCGGTACGCCTGCTGAACAGGTCATTAGGAGCGACGAAGTTATGACGAATATCGAACCTAGCGCGGCGCCTTCTGTTCCGGATATGATTCCAATATGGGTGGTAGTTCTGTCGGCCTGCGCGGGAATGATTATCCTCTTGCTACTCATTTATTTGCTTTATAAGGTGAGTCTAAAGATGAATATAATGTAGAAAAGTTACAAATTATAGCGTTTTCCCAAATTTTTTGCAATGAAAAAAACTGCGGATGATTAAATAATAATATGAAAAAGTAGTTTCAGTCGATTTGGTTGAAACTGTGATATTTTGTAGATTATGAAACGCTGATCAAAAGTTTTCTTAAGCAAAAAATGGACTTGAGATTTTGCTCTAACGTCATTTTAAAATTACTATTTTGAAATCGAACCTAAAAATATTTTTATCTAAGTACTAAATTGTTCATTTTTTGGTAACTGTACTTTGTATTTTTATGCACAGAATAATGAGACGAATCAACCGATGTAAAGAAAACACATAGTTTGCAAGTATGCATATTGCAAATTGTATTTTTTTTAAACAACTATGTGTTTTCTTTACATCAGTCGATTCGTTTCATTATTCCGTGCAAAAAAATATTAAGATACAATTGCCAAAAAATGAATAATTTATTAAATAAAGATATTTTTTAGCCCATTTAGATAAAAAATAGCAACTTTCAAATGTTCATTTTTTATGGTTTTGCCTAAAAAAATTTTTAATCAGAATAATCTGCAAAATGTCACAGTTTCAGTCAATTCAACTGAAACCTTTTTCATGTGATTAGTGCGGAGTCCTTTGTTTGGTTCATTATATAGATTGATTCATGTCTTTGATAATGATTGATTGGGATCAAGATGGGTTAATGATAATCAACCCACTTTATTTATCATTTATAGTGCGGTTTCTTCAAGAGGAACAGACCTTCCGACGCTCCAGAGAGACAACCGCTAAACCGAAACGGCCACTTCCAACAAGGCGAGGATCACTAAAGAAAGATTACCATTCTATTAAAAGTTTCGATTTTCTGGCTATACTAAATTAAATCGTAAGCGAGTTAAAATTTTGACTGCGGAGTAGAACCATGAAAAACGCCTTAGTTCGAATAATCGAGGGAACACGCGTTGCATGGATTTGCTTGGTGTTGTCTGCGAACATAGTTTCGACTTTTACCGAATATCTCGTTAGCGTTCAACAGTGCCTTAATCCGCGTCTAGGCAAGACGAGATTTGCCAAGGTACACTGAAACGTTAGTTTTGGATGAGTGACGATTGATTCGTCACTCGTATACTGCCGTCGAATACTCCTTCCAGCTCCTGCAGCTCGACCACGCAAGTTTCTAGTCAGGAGACGTTCTTCTTTTTTTTTTATTATTACTTGTAATTACTTAAGCCGCGCGTACAGTCGGCAGATACGAACGAATATCTCGACATTCTTCGACGAATCGTATCTTTGTATATATAAGTAATATATGTATAATGTTATTTTTTGTATACCGTTATTCGCGGTAAAACGCCTTGATACGTGCCTCATCGCTTCCGCTGTCTTTTTACGATAGAGTACAAGTAATTATTTTTTTATCCGCATTTAGTTGGCACGAACTTTAAAACGATTTCGTATCTCGCCGGTGATTAGAATTTAGCGGAATGTATTCAGTACCGAAAACATCATAATCTCTCCTTTAAGGCCCCTTTCACACGAGTAGTTGTGCTGGAGATTGTGTCTTACATTTTATTGAACACGTCGTAGAAAATTCATCTTTTACATGTTTTTTGCAATTTCGTACTTTTAGATAATGTTTTATTAGCAATATATCGAATTTAGACCCATGTGAAAGGGGTCTAATCACCCTGAAGAGCGATTTTTAAGTCGCGTGGGACTTTATAATTATTTATTAAATTTTTATATTATATACATAATATAAAAATACTGTAACGTATGCTTGAGCGCTGTAACAATAGCGTGATGCATCGTCACGCGTGCAAGGTGAATGTGTGTGTACAATCTGTAAATTATTAATTTACGTTACTAAAACTGTCCACGAAAAGTGGTTTAACGCAATAATATTTCAATTAGGAAGGATTTATATCTTTTTAGTATAATAGAAATCTAGAACTGATTTGTACATATAACGTTAAGATATAATATTAAAAAATATATATATATATACATCTAATGAAATTAACTATTTTGCGCATATTGCTAATTTCTCCCTCAATAAGTCTGTGGCGATCGTGACAAAGAGACTCTGAACAGGTTTTTTGGCACGAAGAATAGACACGTATGACTCTCTTTGTCACAATCACCACGATATAGTGATCAGTCTCAGTGTTGTCGTCTATTATATATGATAAGAATAACGAGGAAAAGGAAAATATTGTAGCATTAATACGAATTGCACCAAATTATGATCGGCGAGCAACGCATGTGTTTCGTCTGACAATTAGTTCGAAGTGTCTCTTCTCGGAAACATAGTGACCTTTTATATATATACAGGGTTGCCAAAATATTAGGGACAGTGCGATTTTTCTATTAATTTTGATTTTGCAAGTGCCTCTTAATGAAATTCCGTGAAGTATTTTTGTTTTTAATGCCCATTCTGGTTATTTGTAAGTTCTATGTAAAGGTTGGCAATACTGACAATGACATTCAGCTTTCAAAATATTGACTGTCATTATTTGTCAGTTTGCAAGCGAGTGAATACGTGTTATTGTCGTTACATTTTAAGTGTGAAAAAGAAATTTATAGCTCAATCTTGTTGCTAAAACTTATTTTTAAGGTAAGTTGTTTCATATTTTATCATTTATTAATAAAATAAAAAGATTTTTTCCTCTCTTTATTAGTTCTTATCTTTATTTTAAGTATGGGCAAAGGTGCAGATATTTCTCCAAGGAAAACCGCTGAAATTAAGATTCTTCTGCTGCATACAGATTATTCACAGAGAAAAATAGCGATGATTGCAGGCGTTTCAAAGTCAGTGGTAAACAGATTAAAAATAAAATTGGACCAAAATCTGCCTTTAGAAGTTTACCGAACAGGCAAGAGTGGACGAAAACGCATCACTATTCCACGTACTAATCGCAAAATTAGGAATATTTGCCTTTAGAACAGAAAGTTAAGTGTTGCACGACTCACAACGCTCATAAACAATGATGGAATTGCTGTCTCGAAGAGAACTGTGCAAAGCAGATTGGCTGAGGAAAAGCTAACTGGCCATCGACCCACTATAAAACCACATTTGAATTCATTTATGATGAAGAAGCGTCTGGAATGGGCTTGAGCACACCAGCATTGGACTATTGAAGATTGGATAAAGTAATTAAGCCTTGTTATATTGTAAAAGTTTTAAAATGTGACAATTTTACAATATTCTTTAATTTTACAGGTGTGTTTCTCAGATGAATCTCGACTTTTGAAATTTTAGGGGACAAGAGCGAGTTCATACGACGCCGTCCTGGGGAAAAATATCATTCCGATTGCTTGGTAAAAAAAGTAAAACACCCTACTAGTATTATGGTGCAATCATGGTGATATCCAGCAAAGGCATGGAACGCTTTCATATCGTCCAGGGGACAACGAAACAAGACCAATACAAGCAAATCTTAGAAAGTCGGCTGTTGTCTCAGGTTGCTGATTGGTACCCGGAAGGTCAAGAATATGTGTTCATGTACGATTCCGCTTCGTGTCACAAAGTCAGAAGTATTACAGCGTTCCTCGTTCAAAACCAAGTACCAGTTCTGCCATGGCCAGGACCTGATATGAACCCTAAGATTGAAAACCTGTGGGAACTCAAACGGATAGCCAAAGAAATCATAACAACTAAGCACCAACTTATTGACAAACTGATACAAGTATAGCACCACTCTCCTGAATTAAAAGAAAATTTAAAATCATGCATTGAGAGCATGCCACATCGCATCAAAGCCCTTATTGTAGCGAAAGGCGGTGTGACAAAATATTAATTAATTAATTTGTACACATTGCTTGTATGAAACAATAAATATTTTCTACTTGGATGTGATACTTTTTCATTATAAATGTAGTAAAACAACATTAAAATAAGTTTCCAGTCATATTTTCACTAAAAAGCACTTGCAAATATTGTTACGTCCAGCGGACTCACGCTGCCTCTTTTCTCTTTCTCACGGAGACCTAGGGGTTATCAACCCCCTAAAACTTCTAGGAAAAGTAATGAAAATCTTTTCCCATGAGAAAGTTTAAAGTAAAGGACTCTAGTGTCTCCATTAACGCCAAATAAAATAGAGTTAGAATCGGTGAACGCAGGGAGCTAATGCACCGCCGATGACACTTCCCTTGGACAGCGCTATTAAAAACGGCAATTAATGTCAGTACTGGCGCCTAAACATTTTTCTGACAAGCAAGTCGCGGACGATGTCCGCGACCATAAAATATAAATGCGACATGCGAAGTCCTGGGAAAGTGTTTGACGGGCGCGTGCCGATAATGCACGTGCGCTCGTCTTAATCGGTGCACGTACATTTTCCCATAAATTGAGGAGAATCATAAATTAAGAAGACACTTGTTGATACCAACCGACTCCTTTCCTCCCCCACAATTTCGACCAATCCAAAATCCCGAAAGTCATCCCACCACCCAAATTTGAACCCCACTAATTAGGAAAAACCGCTATATAAACCACGGTTCCGCGGTTCTGAGCGTCTTTTTTTCGCTTGTCTTTTGGGGCTCGTCTTGTCTTACCAATTGTTGAGGGTCTTGTTCCTAAAGTCGGTCGCAAGAGTTATTCCAAATTATTCAATTTATTCAAAACCGATCAAGTTCGAGTCTCTGTTCGTTATTTGTTAAAATTAAATATTAGAGTCAGTGATCCAACGCCCGAGATTCCGACCACCAACGCCGACCACGAAGCTCTTGAAGCCCCTTCATCAGACTCCGCAAATCTCATCGAGCAGTAAGTCAATACCACCCTCTTCCCTTTTTCTTTCTTCTTATCGTTCTTTTTTTTTCACTTTCTCCTCTCTGTATTAGAGCCTGTGTTCATTTTCGGTTTCCCCTTTCAGTTTTCTTTTATCCCTTCATTTCTTCGGTAACTGATTAGCTTTTTTTCACTTACCATTAAATAACGTTGCAGTGCGTTTTAACGGGTCCACCGCTCCTCCATCCAACGCCGTAGCGTGATATGTTTCGTCCGGTCGCGCCGAACCATTGTTAGAAGCAGGATTCGAGCCAGGAAGTTAGCCCCGCGGTTCCACCCTGTGTTTCTCACCCCTCGACGCCGGACACTTCAAGCGTTCCACCCTG